GGGTCCAGACTGGAGGATCATGGAGCCCAGTGTAGAGTCAGAGATGCTAAGAATGGTGATGCCATCTGCAAGGCATGGGCTGCAGTGTAGGGTAGGTCAGAGCTGCAGATAATGCCCCTGGCATCGGGGCAGTAATGGGCAGCTTCCCTTGGCATACCATCAGTTTATGAGAACAGCAAAGTCTTGGCAGGAGAGACTGGGCGGACTGCCTCATAAAGACAGGTGGGTGGGCCAGCAGGAGATCTGGCCCCAAGAGCTGCCCCCTGTCACAGAGATCTCGGACAAGATGCTGACAGATCAGGGCAAGTTGTGTTCATGATTGCATAATTTACCTGTCTTTTTTTCTAGCAGAAGGCACTGTAAAGTTGATCACGCTTTTGCAAGTAATTATATTTAAATATCTGATTTTAAAGATTTTTAAATTTTATTTAATTTTTAAGAGCAAGTATGAAGTTCAAATTCTCTTTCTATGTGGTATGGTATATGTGGTGTTTTATGAGACATGATCCTGTAGTTATTAGTTTGTTCCATTGGAAGATCTGAATAAAGAAGTTGTGCTGCAGTGTGATTGTTAAACTTTTGTATTTGTGCTTTGAAGGTGAGTACTGCTGAGCTCAAAGGGAATGTTATAAAGGGGGTTTATTTGTGTGCTGATGGGTGTAACAATGGGTTGAGAGTAGGTATGAGAGTAGCAATGGGTGATGGTGCGTGCTACAGTGTTTGTTGGGTATAGCATGGAGAATGACATTGTATTGAGTGTGTATTTTGGCTTATGATTGCATTGCTTTTTAAAGTTTTCATTATGAAGAAATGTGTTTGTGTGACCTGAACTCTTATGTTCTGTCTTTGTGTAAGGCTTTATACAAGTTTATGTGCTTTATCTTTCTTTTTGTGGTGATTGCTAAGGGGGAAAAGGCAGAAATTTAGAGATTAGACAAAATGCATGTTGTTATGAGGTTTCCTTATCTATTGCTGGAATGGAGGCTGATATGAACAATTATATTCATTGTAAAGGTCATGGACAATGTAACTGTGGAAGATGTGACTGTAAAGGAGGATGGACTGGAAAAAAGTGTGAACATCCGCGTTCTTGTCCGTTATCAGTTGAAGAAAGCACTAAGAAATGCCGAGGGAACTCTAATTTACCATGCTTTGGAAGAGGTAGGTAAATTTCTTTAAGATTTGTCATGGTCTTAAAATGTGGCTTGCATTAAAAAAAATTACATTTTCTAAAGTATTTGAAATTTCCCAGCTTGTTGTATCTAAGTCATAGTCCGCAAACTTATATGGGGACTGATGAGAGAACAGGAGAAAAGGGACCTGTTTTTTTTCACCTCTGATATCTGCTGCATTATACTAGATTGCACTTAGCTGTGTTTTTAGATTTTCAAAGATTATATTAGTTCTTTACTCGGAGTATAGTATGGAACCTCGTGGGCTTATTCTCTACACCCTCACTTTGGGGACAATTCCCAGGGAACTGACTGTGTCAGAGCTTCAGGATGTGTAAAATGGTGTAGTTCCATTAACTTTGATGAAACTACTTAGATTTATGCCAGCTGGGAATCTGTCTCAGTTGCTGAGTTGGTCTTAAATCATTTTTCTAATTGTCTCTTTGTTTTTCCTTTTGAAAGCATTGGATTGTTCTTGTCTGTGCCTTTTGAAAAAGTGTTGTCTAAAATGTTTATTTATAAAAAGGCTTAAAATATGTAAGTGCACTACAAGCATGTAGTCTCAGGTGTGCAACTGAAATACCATAAACACAAATCACAAGCAAGAGAGGGAAAAATCTTTTTAAAAGAAATGGATTCTATTTATTCTGATTTATCAAAATTGGAAATATGCTTTCTTCATCTCAGAAGAGAATAGAAAGGTAAATATGGAATAGGTTTCTGCCAGAATTGGTAATTGAAATCCTTATGAATTCTGCCCACAAAAGCATTTGCTGGGGAAGAACTAAAGCTGCTCTTCAACTATTGAATCTGACCCTAAGTGTCATTTAATTTGTGAGTGCTTTTTTCACTAATACTCTCTACAATAACCAGGAGTCAAAGGTGATAGGCTATACATCCGAGTTAGCACAGCCACATAAGATATTTGGTGATATATTTTTTTTTCACAACTGTGTGGAAATGTTCATAGCCTCTCTCTCTCAGAACTAGCTTCCTCCCACAAGAGAAAGGACTTAACTCCTGGCTTTTATTAGACCTCTGTTCCCTATAGGCCACATCTCTTCAGTCTCAGTGAAAATTCTCAGAGGGCTTTTATGGTTACAAACTAAGATATGATCTTGTAATGAGGTTTGTGTGGACAAATGCCTGCAACTGCACAGAGCTCATTGCAACATCACAATCCAAATCTTAATTGTTTCTGACTAAAATGAAGGATGATGATTACCTGAAAGATTTTTTTTCCCCAGAAAAATGGCTTAGTATGGGCCTAAAACTACCAGGTACTGAATTTATTTCACTGGGAGTCAAGAATGCTCAGCACTTTCCAGGAAATGCTGTTTTGCACAAGATTAGATGCTAACTTGTTTATCCAAAAAATGCATCCCATGCTGCAAGTGACATTTTTTCATGTCTCAGTTATAAAAATGAGTTTGGTTTGAACAGAAGTCTAGGACCGAAGTACTAGGAAATATATTAATATTTGAACAGTGAATAGATTGTAAAGGCAACTGTGGGGAACCGTAATTTTAAGAAGTCTTTAAATGCCTACATGAACCTGTTAAAACAGATGATTTTACTGGCTTAGCAGAACTGGCTGTATGGGAAGAGATAAGAAATCATGCTTGAGGTGATGTCACATTAGACTAGATATGGAATGAGCCATTTTGAAATGAGTTTGGACTGACTGACTGTTTTTGATATCCAAAGGTTTTTGTATGTGGTCATGCAAATGGTAGACCTTCTAAATAAAATTTAGGCTTTTTGGAGGTGCTGATAAACTTCCACAACTCCCAGTGATGTTAGAATAAAAGAAGATTTCCTGAAGTTTGAAGGGAATACAGATATTCGTGCAGAGCTTAGTCAAGAAGATAGGAGTGACCTGTGATGTAGAGAGCAGAATTCCTTGTTTCTCAGCCCAGCACCTATCTCACCCAAAATGTGGGGGCAAAAGAAGAGATTCATCTCTTTCCCAGTACAGACTTTTCAAACATCTCCTTGGGCACTTCCACACCTGCAACCACGTGTGCTTGCAGCAGCTCGGACATGCACTTTGTTGTGGAGCAAATTGTGCCACTTGGGGCAAAATAACCCTGCCTGGCTCGTCCTGGATCTGCAGCCAGGGGGAGCTAGAGCCTGGGGCCAGCACCTGTGCTGTCCCCAGCAGTATAAAAAGCTGCCCTGTCCTGGCCCCATCCATACAAAAAGCTGCCCTGGTAAGCTGCTCAGGGCTACTCGCTCTTAGGAGCTTCTGGGGCCCAGTCAACTGGTACCTGGGGACACTACTTCTTGTGCCAGCTGGACTGCTGCAGCAGCATCCCAAATCCATTTTTAAAAATACCCCAAAATCCATGTTCTTCCACAGTTAAAACAAAAAACCAAACAAACACACACCCACACACACACCCCCCCCCATAGAAAGAGAGAGACAACAATCAGTTGGGTGATGCTTTATTGGTATATTTACTATGTTAAAGCAATTTGGAAGTCTACCAGTGTCTCTATCATCATGAAAAAATAGATTCTAAAGACCTTATATGTGTTGATGTATGCTTTTGGTTTTCCTTACACATGATGGGTGTGTGATGGGGCGATGTGGTGTTTGCTCCCCCTTGGAGGGCCCTAGCCCCCCGCCCAGGGCCCGTAACTAACCTTTCACAGCAGCAGTCGGGGGACTGTGCGCTGAGCCCAGCCAGGTCCTGCAGGCCCTGGGGCTGCTCCTGCCACCCAGCTGGGCTGGTCTCATGGTGGCAGGACCCAGCATGGTCCCAACCGGGTCCTGGGACCCCTCTGCCACCCTTCTGGGCCTGGCCCATCTCAACAAGACCTGGCGCATCATGTGGGGACTGCATGCCAGGCCCAGGCAGGTCCTGGGGCCTCTTTGCCACCCGGCTGGGCCAGGCCTATGGCAGCAAGACCTGGCACAGCATGCTGGGACCATGGGCTGGGCCCAGCCAGGTCCTGGAGCCCCTCTGCAGCCCAGCCAGGCCAGGCCCATGGTGACAGGACCTGATGTGGCACGTGGTCCCTGGCACGGTGGGCTGGGCAGCACAAGTAGCCCCAGGGTCAGCAGGACCCAGCTCAGCTCCGTGCGGAGACTCCGTGGAGCCAAGCCAGGTCCTACCACTATAAGAAGGGCCTGGCCAGATGGCAGGACCTGGCACAGCACACAGGGACCATGTGCTGCGCCAGGACCTGTCACCATGGGCCAGGCCCAAGGGCTGGCTCCCACCTCTGTCCCCTGTGTCTGCAGGGGGATGTGGACCTGGCCCAGCCCCATGTGGCTCTCTAGTCTGGCTTTGCGCTGGAGTGGGCCACAGGGCTCCGGGAGGCACAGCTTCTGTGCACGCCTCCCAGAGCCATGTGACCCGCTCCAGTGCAAAGCCGCGGGGATCTGAGCCAGGTCCTCACCCCCCGCAGCCCAGGGGACAACCCCTCTGCCACTCCCCAAACCCCTCCCCCACTTACTTCGGACAGGGCTGGGGGCAGCAGGAACACCAAAGAGGTCTCTTTTGAAGGACTGGCTCCAGGCATGGTCTGGAACTGTGTCTTGCTCCACTCTGTTGCGGAGCAGTTTTTTTAGACCCCTGGATATCCAGGGGTCTAACTTTCTCATGTGGGGAACATGTTTTTCATTCTTGCACATGCCTCTTGCCCTGCCTCAGAGGGGTTTGAGGTGGGGCAAGAGGCAAGTGCGTGCTTGTCTGGATGCTCCCCTTGATAGTAAGACCCATGTTGTCTCCTTTGTGGATGTCAAAATCTCTCTCTCTTTCCACCAATGCCTTCAACAATGCAGTTATGTATCGACAAAACACAAATCTGTTCAATATCAGCAGGGATCCTGGTTTTCTCTGATAACTGCCTCGCCCCCTGAAATTTTATAATTAAAAAAAGTAACCCAAGATCCACATTTTCCCATGATTAAAATGAAAATTCATTTAAAAATGTGGACCTTGGGTTACTTTTTTAAAACTGAAAATTGGGGTGTTTTTTTTTTAATCAGAGAAAACCAGGTTCCCTGAATATCAGTAGTTGAAACTTTGGTGCCAGTGTAAAATTAAATTGAATATGATGCCCAAATATAAATATCTATAGGTTTTCTGCTGTGCTCCCACTGCTTCAATCACAGTTACAAGGAAAACTTGCATGAACAAACTCTTCAGGAGTGTGAGGAATGGGCAAGTGAAACACCAAATTACATTTTATATCAAATTATCTTATTTTCCACATAAATTCTAGGTGTTTCTGTGTAATTCAGTAATATTGACCTTTTGGTAGAGAAATAGCCATCATTAAGAGACAATGGCTTTAAGTATACTGGAAGAAATGTTTTAATTTGGCAATATTACATCAAAGAACTCTTAAGAGATGGGTGAACTTGAAAGTGAGTAGCAGAGAGAGGGGCTTGAGCAGTGGGGAACTATCTGGCCTGCATTCAGCTCCTACCTCAGCTATAGGCTTTTTGTGAGTACCGTTGCTGCTCGCTTTGGACTTACCTACTTCAGAGGGGCTTTATGAGGAACACAATCCATTACTGATTGGTTATGAGGTTATGGGACACTACAGTGAAGATGGCTGTGTAAGCATCTAGCTAGAAAGGCATAGCAGGAATGAACAGGCATGGAAATAGCTGAAACTTTAGGTGCCTTGCATTAATCTGGGATCCTTATGTAGTTAACAGGGAAACTGAAATGCCACTGAAGAGTGATTTAACGATAGGCTCCTACAATCCTAATCAACCCCTAGATGCATTAACAGGGCATAGGTGGAGTGCACCTAGGGCACTTTTACACATGCTCTGGGGTGGGGGGAGTGATGCTTTAATTAGATTGGGCCTGACAGCTGCTGTTATTAAAGTGTCGCAGGGTCTCATGTACCAGTATCCCCACACTTTAAAATGATGGTGGAGGCGCTTGAACTAAAGCTTATTTCATGAGCTTTAGTTCAAGCACCCCCAACTGCCATTTTTAAGCATGGGGACTCTGATACGCG